TGATTCTCCTTGAATTGCCACTGCTGAGTCCCTTCCCAGTGAGTGTTTCCATAATTCTTTCATGGGTAGTAAAAAAAAAAGTTTTCACCCACTTCAGTTGCTGAATAAATAGCTGCTTATTTCCTCCTTATCAAGATATTATTCTCAGTGAAGGCAAATTTTCTCTTTTTGTTTTTGTCCTCTGACATAAAGAAGCAAGTCCTGTGCAATGTTCAGTCCTCCCTCTTTAAAAATTAAATACCAGCAATCGTCACAACCATATTGATTTGTTTATACAGTTGTCCATTCTATACATACATATGTGTCTGTGTGCATCTGTACACACAAAGACACAACCCTTATTTTGTGCAACTACTTCAGTGTAGTGTGTTTGGGAAAGTAGAGAGATAGGAAGATAGAGACATATCTTTATTCTAGAGTTCACTGTCCAGTGAGGGAGACAGAGATAGAGAGGTAATTATAGTACTACTGAGTGTTGGATGCTATAAAAATGTTTACTATTAACCTTTATTTCCCAAAGAATCTAGGAAGAACTATATAGGTAAAGAGTTTCCTGAACAGTAAAGGATCTTAAAGGATGAGTAGAAATTTTACTAGGGAAAAGGGGTTATTATTAATACAGGGAGCCATGCATGCAAAGTCTTGCACATGTAAAAGTTTGATGCTTTTAAGTGTGAGAAAAGCTATGAAGCTGCCCACTTCTAAAACTTTTATATAAGAAATGACTGACTGTTTATTATTATGGCCACTTATTATTCCAAAGTACTTAAACAATCATATAAAAAGTATATAGAATAATTCATGACTTAGGAATCTTATCTCTCAACCTCAGATCCTGAGTATTAATATCTGTTGGGGATTTGGAGACATTTGACATTTTCCCGGTTTCTTAACTGATTTTTCATATGACTCAGAAAAAATATATAAATTCCCCAGTGATGCCAGGATGGAATTCCTCCATGGATGCTTTACCAGGCACTGTACTATGCCTGTGGCATGAATTACCTCATTTTGTCCCCACAGCAACCCATGATATGCTGGTAACTCTGTGTTACTCATGAGGAAATTCGCTGGTAGTTGGTGGAGCAGACCCAGCCCAGGTGGTCTAAGCCTAGAACACCAGCTCTTAGTATAGCATCCCTTAGGCAGTCAGAAATATGGTTCTGGGCCTAAGGAGAATGGATGGACGTGGACATGGACACTTACGTTTATTTCCCTGTGATTCTGAAGGGCATCCAAATCCAGCTGCGTGGTTGGTGTGGGATCCAGTGTGGCTGGGAGCTGACGCGGTGGGCTGGGATGGCACGCGTGCTTTCCAAACTGTGGTTGCACATGGTTGGACTTTACCTATCCTTAAAGAAGATCATAAGAACATTTGCTTTCTAACTTCAGTTCAACAAATTACTTCTGCACCAGAGCAGGCCAAGTGAAGTGACAGATTGAGCTGAAGAATTAGTCCTTTTTCACTTGAGAAAGAGCCCTGTGCTTGCTAAGGAGGGGCTCCCGTCTGCTCTTTGCCTTGAGCCTGAGAACAACCCTGTCCTGCTTGTGGCTAATCCTCTCTCACCAATGTGCCTCCTTCCCTGATTCCATTGTGAGTTAGCCCTAGCGTGGCACGTCAACCAGAGTTAGGAATACTTCGTTCTATCAGTCTGCCCATGGTCTCTGTGTCTAGAGAGATGCAGAACGGTGACTTCATCTTTTAAAAATAGCCCTTTAAAGCAAGAATCTTTAAAGTTTACCTCTTTCTACATGCCAGAATAGTGCTTAGTTCAGCTGTTAAAAGTCTCCCAAGTTATCTCTATGAAAATGTCAACAAAATTACTGGTTTGGTGTGAGCTGATCAAATTCCTAGAATTTCAGGGCTTAGGAAAACAGCACCACAGTGTGTGGAATGGTGGGGCGAGTTGCCCAGAGATTATGGTCTTCTTGCACGGTGACATCTGGTAATGTATTGAAGAGGGAGGTGGGCAGATGGCTTAGTTTAATACTAGCAGCAGTGGAACATTGCATGGTTAGGAAATATCCTGCAGGTGGATCCTACACAGTATTGTGGTGTAAAATGCCTTACTAGAACGTCAAGCACACGTTTGATGCCTATAAGCTTTGGACATGGCTAGACCTGATTTTATAGATTGCTGCTACTTCTATACTGTGTAATCTTGAACAAATTGTGTAGCCTCTCTGAGCCTTTTCACCTTTGAAAAGTAGAGAAACCTAGGAGTTTTGTATTGCTTTTTTAGTTTTTTTTTTTTTATCTGAATTCCAGTATAGTTAACAGTGTTATATTAGTTTCAGGTATACAATACAGTGGTTCAACACTTCCACACAGTGCCCAGTGCTGATCATAATAAGTGTGGTCTTTGATTCCCTTCACTTATTTTACACATCCCTCAGTTTGTTCCCTATATAAAACCTAGGATTTTGACAATTAAATGATACCGATGTAAAACTCAGTACAGCTCATATGGTACACAGTAGACCCTAAAGAGAGGGGAGCTCCTTTATTTACTGAGCACTTTCCTGTGTACCAGGTAATTTCTAAGGATGGTGATGCAGTGATGAACAAGACAAACTCAGCCCCTTCTTCCTTTTTTTTCTTTTTCTTTTTTTTTTTTTTTAAGAGAGGAAAAGAATGCTGGAGAGGGGCAGAGGGAGAGGGAGAGAGAATCTCAAGCAGACTCCCTGCTGAACACAGATCTTAAGACCCTGTGATCATGACCCGAGCCAAAATCAAGAATCAAACAATCAGGGCAGCCCTGGTGGCTCAGCGGTTTAGCACCGCCTTCAGCCCAGGGCCTGATCCTGGAAAACTGGGATCGAATCCCACGTCAGGCTCCCTGCATGGAGTCTGCTTCTCCCTCTGCCTGTGTCTCTGCCTCTCTCTCTTTCTCTGTGTGTGTCTCATGAATAAATAAATAAAATCTTAAAAAAAAAAAAAGAATCAATCACCTGAGCCGCCCAGGCACCCTGCCATTCCCACCAGCCCTATCTTTTAATGAGACAGGCAAAAAATGTCAACAAATGGTGTTAAATGCCAGCACTAGATAATACACGGTGCTGAAGAGCACATAGGAGGGGTGTTTAATGGTTTAATGAAGGCCTGGCAAATCAAGTAGAAAACACAGGAGGAGAAAACACTTTCCTCCCAGGCTGGCCCAACTACTGAGTGAATTCACTGAAAGGCTCTCGCACATCGGTAGCCCTCAGAGTTTTTTGGGGTTTTTTGTTTGTTAAGGAAAAGGAAATAATAACACAGATATAAACAAAGTAACCACCAAATATATTGACTTGGTGTGTCCAATACAATTCAGACGTCCAAATTCTTCAAGCGTCATGTTCTGAATAAGCAAGATGCCTATCTAATATGGATTTGACCCTTTAAATTTCCCATTAAAAACAAAACAAAAGCAAGGAAAAAAATGTCCTTTCCTTGGCTTGTTTACTTAAGTTAATTCCAGAAAGGTACTCAATAAATATTTACTTCTTAAATGACTTAACCAATAAATGCATGCAGTGCTGTGGTTAGGTCTGCTTTTGCTGACCCGCTTCCTCTGCCTCCGCCTTTGCTCCAGATAGAGACGAAGATTGCAGCAGAAACAAGATAATGTTAGTTTCTTGGAAAAATAGCCCAGGGTAGGGGTAGCTCCGGGTGTTGCCCTAGGAATACATGGACTTTGTGCCAGAGATGTGCCATCAGGATGCTTTCTACTTTCTCCTAAATTCGCAGCTATTTTGAGTGGTTGAGAAGGGAGGCAGGGAAGCCTAGAGCTTAGATCTAAGACAGCCCCCCATCTAATTCCAGTTTTGTGTAACTAGCTGTGTGATCTTATTACTCACTTAAAGCCCCAGTCTCCTTACCTGTTCAGTGGGATTAATAATAATACCTCATGGCGTCATTGTAAAAGATTAAGATAATACTATAAAAGCTTAACCAATGCTTGGCACATGGTAATAGCTACTAATCTTAGTTTATTGTTCCTGTGATTTACATTTTGTTTACAAGCAATAAATAATCCGTGCTAATGTTGATGAATTAATAAAAAATGAACTACTGAAACATTTCTGAGTAATACCAGTGCGGTGGCCTTGAAAATGCGCTGCTCCTCTACAACACGGCGGACCGGCAGCCCCAGCTGCTTCCTCCAGCGGCTGCCACTGCTTTGCACCCAGTTTGCTTTCACGGGGGCTGCTCCCAGCCGGTGACCAGCACAGCGGTCGGCTACGCAGGCCTATTCCTGCAAGCTGTGACTGCTTTACCAGGTGACTTCAGCTCAGAGCCTCCCCATCGGCCTGATGGAGACTTCCGTAACACTGGGCAGCAATCTGAGATGCTCCCTGCCTGGCCCTCCTTCACCACCATCCCCACCCTTCACAGGGTCCAGACCTGCACTGCAGTCTCAGGCACCCCCACCCTCCCCAGCTTCTTCTCCATCTCCTGTTCTGGAATTTCTTCCACTAAACCTCTGGCTCATCTGGGTGTCTTGCTTCGTGGAGGATCCAGACTTCCAGTTATAAGGGTCGTTGGAAGTAACGACCCCTGGAGCACGGAGTGGATATTTTCTCCATCAAGTCTAATGAGTTTTAACTTCATCTTACGTTTATCGCGTTTCAGTCTAATGAGTTTTACTTCATCTTTACGTTTATCGTGTTTCCTCAGAATTGAAATTTGGTGTTACTGGTCATAAATTCTCCAGGACACACGTTAGCCACTGTTTCCTCGGGGAAGACCACTCACATTTAGGACCTCAGACTAATCAGCAGATTAAGTTGTGAGATTGCACTCAATTAGGACAGGCCTCCACGTCTCAGTGTCTTTAACGTGACGTGATTTTAGTCTTTTCACGAACCAAAGAAATCTCTTTGGCAAAGGCTATGGATGGCTCTCCAGTGTTTATTTTTAAATTTTGTCTGTTGTCTCCTGTTGATTTCTTTGGTTCTCTTAATGCCTCCCCCTCCCCCACCCCCAACTGCTCACTTGATTATGATTTTTGTGACAGACCAGATCCAGGGGACAGTCACCATCCGGAACATCAGTGCTCTGTCTTCAGGCTTGTATCAGTGTGTGGCTTCTAATGCCATTGGAACCAGCACCTGTCTTTTGGATCTCCAGGTGATTTCACGTAAGTATATACAATTCTGATGTCGACTCTGGGTCTTGAACACCAAAGATCTTTGTTACTCCAGGGAACAAAGAATTTCTCTGGATTGTTTTTAGGTCATTTGAAGATTAAATAGAAATTCTCTTGGTTTTATTAATTATTGAAATGTTTTATAAATGTGTTAGCATGCTTTTCAGCCTCCACACTGTGACATCTTCTTTATGACACAGTATCTTTCTCCTCCAGATGATTAGAATCAAATTGGTCACTTGTCTTCAAGTGATTGCATAGTGCTGTAGACATTATAGAAACTTACAATGGTCTCGTGGCCACAGCAAGACCTTCTTGTGTTTTCTCCTAATCCCTTTATATCTGCTTAATTGTTAGGTGGCCATAAATAAACAGTGCAGACATTTTCTCTTTATTTGAGAATTCTGGGTTATTTGAATTCCACTTACAAAAAGTAGTGATCTGGTTGGGCTGAGGCGATAGTTATTGCCAGGGTTCTTTTGGGTGGATCACACAGGTGGACATCTTTGGCCTGTTCTGCTCTAAGTGTGGCTCTACTGAAGTGGTGAGTCCTGTAATGCTCGTTCATTCAGCAAGTGTCTGTGAGCCTACGGTATGTTAGTCCTAGCCACTGAGGACACAGGTTAACTGAGATTTAATTTTATATGAATGCAACACTTTGGGCAATTTTGTGCATTTTAAGAAGATTCTGTGGTGAACTTACATATTTATGAAGTTGTATGAGTGTATGCTATTTCTCTTTCTCTCTCTCTCTCTCTTTTTTTTGTTCTTTAAATCTACCTTAAATATATTTTGCAGCCCAGCCCAGGAACATTGGACTAATAGCTGGAGCCATTGGCACTGGTGCAGTTATTATCATTTTTTGCATTGCACTAATTTTAGGGGCATTCTTTTACTGGAGAAGCAAAAATAAAGAGGAGGAGGAAGAAGAAATTCCTAATGAAATAAGGTTTGTGTATCAGACAATTTGTCCTACATGGTCATTGTCTGTATTTCTATTAATTTTGGCAGCTAAGATTTCTTTGCTAATCCAGTGGCTGTGATGGCCAAGACCATTACCAAGTCATCTTTTCTTCTGTGTTATATCACTTTTCTTCATGATACTGCTCAGCGTCACTTACTGGATCATGAAAGGGGAAGAGGGTCTGAAATGTGCCCAACCAGGAAGACACACATGAAAATTTCCTTCACCTCCCATAGCCCCAAGATAGGTGAGGTTAAGGTGGCTGCCACTGTAGAAAAGTTAGTTTAGTAAAGAAATGTGTTTGACATCGGCATTTATAATAGAAGCTAGAAGGAACAGCACAAGAGCATACCCGTACCTGTGTGCACAGAGAGACCAAACAGTATGGCTTGGTGTGAGAGACAGGTCAAAGATATGAACCTCTTCAGAAAATAATGTGAAAATCATCTTTAAAGAAAATTGACTCTTGGCATATTGTAGGGTCGGGGAGTTCGAGCCCAGTCTCATACTGTACCCTATCATATCCTTGTTGAGAATGCTTTAATGACTGCAGTCTACTTAGCATGAGCCACACAGCACTTCAGGATCTGACCCTTCCCTGCTTCCCTGGTCCTCTGACCACATCCATGATCACTGGTGATCCAGTCTATTTTGTAGCCTCTCAAGCCTCAGGATCTTTGCTCAAGCCTCCACCCTCTTCCTGGACCAAACTACTTCCCTTTTTATCCATCTCTTCGGTAAATTCCTTGATCTGATTCAAGACCAGTCCAGGCATCACTTCCTCACAGAAGTTGACTCTAGTCCCTTGTCCAGCCTTTCAGACTTGGAGATGTTCTTGGATTGATTGTCACTCTCGTTTGGTCATAGGCCTCTGGGGTATAGGAGCTGTGTCTTTTTTTTTTTTTTACATAAAACATCTAGTAGAATGCCCGATACTCAATAAATGTTAAATGAATTAGTTGACAGCTTAGGTTAAATTAGTGACTTCTCTTAGAGTCTTGTAATTCTTAAGGGTTTGGTCTGTATGCAAGGATAGATTTCATCCCAGCATAAGATCACTGAGAAAAATCACTCATCAGCACACCGCAGTGAGTTCTCAGACCCCCAAAAAGTGCAATAAAGTCAGGTCAACTCTAACCATTTTTTGAAGTTCCTCACACCCACAACTTGGTTTTTTACAGCAGCAAGCTCAGTGGACTTCTTTAAAGTCTATTTTCCTATTTAGAGGGGGGGAAAAGTTATATACACACAGATGCACATACATATACACACACATTTTTTCAGTTATTTTGGAAAGTATAGTCTGAGAGATGCGGCCTCAGACTTTTCTGCCCTTGGCTATTGAGAAGCTGAGGGAACATTTTTCTTGAGCGTTGTCTCAAAGAGAATGAGTGTCAGCCGAGGCCACCAGAACTGATATGTTTGCTTTCATGGTAGTATGGTCTATCCTGAGGGTTTGTATCTCACAGACAGACTGGGCTTAGCAGAAGAAGAGAGAGTCCTGGGCAGGAGGGTAGGGTGACATTCAAGTAAATCCTGACAACAACTTTATATTTTCCTCCTTTTCAGAGAGGATGATCTTCCACCTAAATGTTCTTCTTCTGCCAAAGCATTTCACACCGAGATATCCTCCTCAGAGAACAACACATTGACCTCTTCCAATACCTACAACAGTCGATACTGGAGCAACAATCCAAAAGTTCCCAGAAACACGGAGTCATTCAACCACTTCAGTGACTTGCGCCAGTCTTTCTCTCTCCACTCAGGCAATGCCAATATTCCATCCATCTATGCTAATGGGAGCCACCTGGTCCCAGCTCCCCATAAGACTCTAGTAGTGACAGCCAACAGAGGGTCACCCCCACAAGTCATGTCCAGGAGCAATGGCTCAGTCAGCAGGAAGCCTCGGCCTCAACACACACACTCATACACCGTCAGTCAAGCGACACTTGAGCGAATTGGTGCTGTCCCTGTCATGGTGCCAGCCCAGAGTCGGGCAGGGTCCCTGGTATAGCACCTGAGCCGATAAAGTATTCAGAAAAGAATCAGTGGAATGCCCCATGCAGGGAGAGGGTGGGGTGAGCAAGTGCTGGGAAAGAAACACTTTCCTTACATAAGGATACTACTGAAAAGCACAAAGGAAAAGGCAATGCTGTTACCTGGCCAGTGAGATTTGTGAAATGAACTGGAATTCTTCATCCTGAAGACTCGTTTCCCCACTACAGATGTCCCAGCATTCTATTAAAACAAACTGGATCTCAAAGATGTGCCAAGCCAAGGAAAAAGATATAAGAGCAGAATAACACTTAAAACCCAAACTGCAGTCCGGATGGGCTTATTCTTTAATTCATGCCTAACTTAATAATTTTTCAAGAGACTAAAGTGCCAGGTGAAGTTTAAATAATGAAACTATTTAAAAACATAGTTGTCTTTAGGAAAATTAATGAGCAACCCTGGGATCGTCACCGTTCCCTCTTTATCTAGAGGGCTTAATGGGCATGAATGGTTAATATTGGTCCCAACAGGGCTGGCTCTTGTATCATAGAGTCCAAACTTTTTTTACACAAACAAAATTCAGTAAGAAATGGGGGAAGACAAAAGAAACTTCTCTGAGAAGCCCATTCATATTTATTTATTTATGTCTTCCTGAACCATGAATTTCATATTTGGAATGTTGCTATATTGACAGATTCTTGCCTGTCTGTGTTTTTCTAGGGTCTGTTCCAGGTCCATGACAATTACTGTTCATTATTTCCTGGAAAAATATTTTTTTAAAAGAAAACTATTGTTTTTTTTTTTTTGTTTTTTTTTTTTTTTTTTAAGAAAATACATGAGAGGCATAGGGCTGGGAAAGACAAGAGTGTTATTAACAGCATGTTCAGTGATGGTGTTGGTCGAGCCCTGCGGGAGGCCCATGGTGAGAGGGAAAGAGCTGGGTGCTGTGGGCCGCACAGGAGCCGGAAGGCAGGTGGGAGGCACTCGGGCCTTCTTGGCAGCCTCAGAGCCCGGCTGTCCAGGGCTCCCTTCCTATTACACCAGGTTGCTCTTAATGAGGGCAGCACCCGATGCCTTTTGCACTGAGGTAGATAACTTTCTCCTTGTTTGACAAGTGGAGGTTAGTAGGTTGTTACAGGGAGGGCGGCAGTGGTTCTGTTGTTGTTTCCAAAATAACTATTTTTGCAAAAGAGATAAGAGTAAGACAAAAGGGATGCCTTCAGGTGTGCCCCTGGGTGAGTCTGCCCTATGTTTGTCACAGCTCAGGGTTGCAGTTTTGCCCAGATGCATTTTTACACCACTGTAAAGAGACTTCCTTCTGTGATTAATGACCTGGCTTGGCTGGCCTTGGAGTTCACCAGATAATTTACCAACTCCCCACTCTTGTTTTGTGCTGTGTGGATCTGGGCATACTTGTATCGGGGACTATCTCGCCTTAATCACACTTTAAGCAGCACAGAAATGATTTCGTCCCAGAATCGTTCTCTGAATTATTTATGAGGCCAACCTCGTGGTTCGATAAGAGCATCATTCTGTTCCCAATGTCGTCTCTCACTCCCTCTTCGCACTATGCCTTTTGCCCTCTTTTCCTGCGAGCAGAGCCATCACAGGGAGTGGCTTCCTGATTTTCAGACCCATTTGAATAAATGGAAACCAGCAGCTGCTGGGGACACTGTTTTCTGGGAGGGCTAAGCTCAGAACCTAACCAATTGCAGCCATTTCGATATTGATGAAATGCTGAATTTATGTTAGCATTACTTATTTTTTCCATGTGATGGTTCTTGACTTTGTAAAAATTTAAATAAATGAATGTCTATACTTTTTATAAAGAAGAGTGAAAATACCGTGACAGAAAAGACACTATCAGATGTTGTTTAGAAAGCATTTATCTTGCATTTCTTTATTCTTTCTAATTATCTAAAATTCAATAAAAGTTTATTCATATAAAAACAAGTTGTCATTTATTATCATAATACATTGATGGATTTCTGAGTTTATAGTGTTCTATTTAATGTTATAAGAATTCTCCATTCTGTTAAGTAGTATTCATAATAATTTTAATGAGCGAATAGTACTCTTATTCTTGTTAGAAATTTGAGTCCAGTTCTCATGTGTATGACCGAAGATATAATGACCCTTTTCATATATTGAGCTATTTTCCTATTTCCCAGTCTGAAGTTCAGGAAAACAAGGTCCATGACTGTTCTTTTTCTTTTCACTCTGAATCCCTCATCTAGACAGTGCCTAATACAGGTGGTTAGTAGGTGAATGACTGATGACTTCTACACTGGAGTTGCCAAGTTCCAGTTCAGAAAGGTATGGTTATGATTGCAGCTCTTGGGATATACTGGATCATTCTTTTGTTTAAACTTTTTTTTTTTAAGTAAGAGTTAGGCATTTAACCAACTGAGCCACCCAGGCACCCCGTTTTAACTTTTTATTTGAGATCTATATATTTATACAATTTTATATTTATAATTATGTAGTTATATGCTGTTACCAGACATAGTGGAGACTCCCATAAACCCTTCATCTGATTTTTCCAAATGGAAAATTTTCCAAATGTCTTGCATGTAAATCATGCAGTATCACAGTGTCACAAATTGACATAGATGCATTCTATCAACCTTACTCATATCTCAACAGCTGTGCATGCACTCCTGAGTGCAGTTTATGTATTTAGTTGAATGTTATTTTATCAGGTGTAGATTGACGTGACTACTGCCAAAGTCAAGATACAGGATCCCTTGTCCTACCCTTTTATAGTCACAGTCACCTTCCTCCTCCCCAAGTCCCTAATTGTTAATTTGTTATCCATCTCTATAATTATGGCCTATAAATGGAATCAGGTAGTATGTAACATATGAGGATTGGCTTCTTTTTTTTTTTTTCTCAGAATGTCTTTTTTTGAGGATCCATCCAACTTGTTGCATATATCATTCCTTTTTATTTCTGATTAGTAGTCCATGGTGTAGATATACCAGTATATTTAACCATTTCCCTGTTGAAGGCTATATGAAGGATATTTGAATTGTTTCCATTTTCGGCTGTTACAAGTAAAACTATTGTGACCATTTTTTCCAGACTTTTATGTGAACATAAGTTTTTATTTCTCTGAGATAAATGCCTGAGAGTTCATTTGCTCCATCACCATTTGTTGAAAAGCCTATCCTCCTTCCAGTGAATTGTTTTTGCAGCTGTGAAAAACTCATTTAGGCATATTCGTGTGGGTCTCTTTCTGAGTTCCTTAACTGTTCGCTGATCTTTGTTCTTCCACCAGTACTATGGTGACCACTGTAGCTATCTAATAAGCTTTAACTGGTGGACTGGTTTCCTCCATTTTAGTATTCTATTTTGAAATTGTTTTAACTATTCCAGGTCCAAGTGCCTTTCCATATAATTTGTAGAATAAGATAGTTTATGTCTACAAGACACTTGGCTGTTTTAATAGAAATGGTGTTAAACATATGATCAGTTTGGGAAGATCTTGTATCTTTACTATTTGAGTTTTCAAATCTATGAACATGGTATATTTCTCTACTTAGACCTTCTTTGGTTTATTTCATGAGCATTTTGAAATTCTCAGGATACAGATCCTATACATGTTTTGTTGGGTTGATTCCTAAGTATTTAATTTTCTTTGAAGCAGTTATAAATGTTACTGTGTTTTAAATTTTGGTTTCTATAGGGTGCCTGGGTTAGCTCAGTTGGTAAGGTGTCTGCCTTGGGCTCAAGTCATGATCCCCACATCCTGGAATCAAGCTCCCATTGCATCAGGCTTTCTGCTCAGCAGGGACTCTGCTTCTCCCTCTGCTCCTCCTCCTGTGCATGCTCGCTCCCTCTCACTCTCTCTCTCAAATAAATAAATAAATAAATAAATAAATAAAATCTTTTTAAAAATTTTGGTTTATATATATTGTTCTTAGTAAATGGAAACGTGATTGAATTTTTTGTGTTGATTTTGCATTCAACTTTGCTGAAATCACTCCTTCAGAGTGTAGTTGTTTTGTGTTTTGTAGATTCCTTGGGATTTGCCATATACAGAATCACGTCATCTACAAATAGAGACAATTTTTTTTATTTCTCTTCAATATGTGTGCCTTTGCTTTTTCATAAAACTGTTAAATACAAAGGTTAGTGTGATATATTTTTCTTATTCCTAGTTATAGGGGGAAAGCATTCATTCTTTTACCATTAAATATGATGTTAGCTATAAGTTTTTGTAGGTGCTTTTTATCAAATGAGGAAGTTTGATTCTATTACTAGTTTGTTGAGAAGATCTATCATTTATTTATGAGTGTTGGGTTTTGTCAAATGTTTTTCTGCATCATTTGGTAGAGTCATACCGTTTTGTTTTTTTTTCGCTTTAGTCTATTGATAATGCTAGGTTACACTGACTAATTTTCAAATGCTGAGTCAGTCTTGCGTACCTGGAATAAATTGCATTTGGTCATGGTGTATAATTTTTTAAAACTCTGCTGGATTTAATAATATTTTTTGAGAATCTTTGTGCATAACGGCCTAGAATTCTCTAGTAAAGTCATGTGTGGCTAGAGATTTCCTTTTCAGCTTTTAATTTACTAATTCAATATCTCTGATGGTTAGAGGATTATTCAGGTTTTCTATTTCATCTTGAGGTAGGTTTTTAAAAATATTTTATTTATTCATGAGACACACACACATAGAGGCAGAGAAATAGGCAGAGGGAGAAGCAGGCTCTCTGTAGGAGCCCGATGCAGGCCTCAATCCCAGTACCCCAGGATCATGACCTGAACCAGAGACAAACGTTCAACCACTGAGCCACCCAGGCATCCCTCATCTTGAGTTTTAATAGTCTCTGGGCTTGAGGAATTGATCCAACTGTTCTCCTTGTCAGTATTTATGGACATAAAGTTATTTGTATTTTTCCCTGTATGTCTTTCTAATGGAAGGTGGATCTAGACTGATAGCTCTGTTTCATTCTTGGTGTTGGTGATCTGTGTCTTAATTTTACCAGTCTTGCCTAAAGTTTGTCAATTTTACTTATTTTTTTTTAAAGAAACAACTTTTTGGGTTTTTTTTTTCTATTTTTCTATTTTCAGTTTTATTAATTTCATCCCTTCAGCTTGCTTTGGGTTTATTTTTCTCTCATATTTCTATTTTTTTGAGGTGGGAGCAATGATTTCAAACTGTTCCTCTTTTTTATATTAGGGCTGTAACTTTAGCTGTATCCACATATTTTGACCTAGTGCATTTTAATTTTTATTGAATTCTATGTATTTTTATCTTTCCTGTGAAAATTCCTTTTTACCTATGGATTATTCAGAAATGTGTGGAAATTTTCTGGTCGTTTTTCTGGTAATGATTTTTTAGGTTGAAGCTAGAAAAAAATCTATTATTAAGTTAGGAAGAAATCTGTTGTATTTTAATTCTTTTACATTTGTTGAAGTTTATTTTAGGCCTAAGATGTAGTCTCTATTGGTACATGTTCCATGGGCTCTTAAAATATTTATTCTGCTGTTGTTGGATAGAATGTTCTGTATACAATTAGATCCTGTTAGATGATTGTGTTGGTCATTTTATATCCTTACTGATTTTCTACCTAGCAATCAGTTTCTGAAACTGAAGTGTTGAAATCCCTAACTATAGTTATAGATTTGTCTATTTCTTCTTTCAGTTTATCAATTTTTGCTTTATGTATTTTGAGGCTTTTTTCATACAAGTGTATTTAGAATTATCATGCCTTCCTGGTGGATTGATCCTCTTATCATTATGTAATGTCCCTCTTTGTCTCTAGGAATTTTCTTTTCTCTGAAGTTTACTTTATCTGGCATTAATTTA